TGAGGAAGGGTCACCGGACCCGAAACGTTAACTCTGATTTTTTTTCTTCACAGATGCTGCCAGACCTGCTGAGCTTTTCCAGCAACTTTGTTTTTGTTCCTGATTCACAGCATCTGCAGCTCTTTCGGTTCCTATTAGGCTAGTGTTTAATGCCGAATTTTTAAAGAAGTTTTTGGTGAATTTACTGCTGCGGTGAATTTGAACCCATCATCCCAGAATATTCACCCAGAGTTCTAGATTCACCGCTCCAGCGACATTACCACAATAGCACTGTCTCCCCTTTATTGTGCTCTATGTTGGGCACTAGGAGAATACAGGCATCCAAATTGGTGGAATCACACAATTTGAGCTAATGTTCTGGAACACTCCAGAAAAATTCAAGGCTGTCAAATTTCAATTGGACCATTGCAATCTCAACAATGCAATGTTATTTAAAGTGGTTTGGGTTCACTGCCTAATCGGCATTACGTGTTTCTCTTTTAGTTTCCTTCCCTGCCTGAAGCTAACAGCAAAGATGTGCCAATATCGCTGCTGACTTGATTTATTACATTTTCTGCCCCTGTTTTGACCGAAAGAAATCTGATGGGCTTAGCCTCATAGTGAGTTGCCGTATCACACATTTCCTGTCCTGTCACAGCTGTATGACTGAAACTGGATCAGGGATAGTAGGAACTGCAGATGCTGGAGAATCTGAGATAACAAGGTGTAGAGCTGGATGAACACAGCTAGACCAAGCAGCATCAGAGGAGCAGGTTTTCTGAAGAAGGGTCTAGGCCCGAAACGTCAGCCTTCCTGCTCCTCTGATGCTGCTTGGCCTGTTGTGTACATCCAGCTCTACACCTTGTTATCTCCGACTGAAACTGGACACTGAATTGGACCATTGTGATTAGGTATCTCCTTCAGGCAATACCAAGCAAATTATCTAATTAAAAACATTGGCTCATTCTCTTTTTTTAAAGTGAAAATTAAATTAAATAGTCATATCTTTAAGTCAATTCGGTCTCTGCTTCAAATGTGTTTTTATTTTACAAAGACAAAGGCTTTTGCTACTGAACTTTGGTCAAATAAAATAATTGCATATAGATGCAGTTAGTTTGATCAACATTGTTGGGCATTGTACTGCAGGAATCTAAAGGCCAACTTGTCAACAATAACTACTCAAAAATAAAGCTGCCTGACAGAATTTACATGGTAATGTTATTATACTGTTTAGCTCTTATTTCTGTATTTTGTTCTTTAACACAAGGGTCACCCTCCATTAGTGAAGGCACTTGCCGAACTATATGGACACATATGTGGACGTTCCATCGATCCAAATAAAGAGATTTTGGTAACAGTTGGTGCCTACGGTTCTCTTTCTAACGCTATACAAGGACTGGTTGATGAGGGAGATGAGGTAAAAATGCATGCAGTTTTTTGTGTGTGTGTGTGTGTGTGCATGTGTGTGCGTGTGTGTGCGTGTGTGTGCGTGTGTGTATGAATATGTGCTAATCAACACAAACAGTGACAGTACAACAGCACCCTCACGATTCATGGGTTTGTCCAGTGAGTGACCAAGACCTATGACCAGGACACTGCCAGTTTTGTTCTGTGATGTGGACTGATCTCACCCATCCACCCGGAAATGAGGTAGGCTGGATTCTAGTGTCTCTAGTTTAGGGTAAGTTTGTTCTTTCTTTCCCCAAAACCACCAGAGGTTTTAGAGGATATTTGCAGCTGGTTTTTGGATGAAGAACTAAACTGACAATTGGACTGTTAAATGTTAAAGACACAGTTGTATAAAAGAAGACAGCAGGGAGTTCCCCAACCAATATTGTTAAAACATATTATCTTTTCCTTTATCTGATTGGTTTCTTGGGACCCAGCTGTATGCAAATTGGATCCTATGTTACAAAGTTGTTACATCGGTTATTATTCTTTGGCTGGGTAGTGTATTGGATTGTCCTTAGGTTATGAAATATGTTTGTAAAAACAAGTTGTTTTCTTTCTAGATGGTGAGCCTAATTTTAATCTATTTTTAATTTTAGGTGATTATCATTGAGCCATTCTTTGACTGTTATGAGTCAATGGTTAAAATGGCTGGAGGAATCCCAGTCTTCATCTCATTAAAGCCTGTGAGTATTTAATCCAACAGAACTGACTAAGATAAAACTTAATGTTTTCCATTAAGATTTGGCAGTTCGTGTATCATTTTATGATTTGTACTTTAATCATTTCTGTTGTCACAAACTGAGTGTTTCAAAATCAATGGGTAACTGTAATGATCAAGCCCATTCATTTTTGTTCCCAAGTGTGACGCTGTAATCTCTTCAGTAAAAATAGGTCTATATTATACTTTTCTCCAAAGGTGGCACTGCAGCCTTTAAAGAGCAATATTACAAAAATGTTTGTTGCATCAAATCATAGAATGGTTATTGAAAGAGGCCATTTGTCTTACTGGACCTGTACTAGCTCTCAGCCAGCCCCACTCCCTGCATGACCCTGAATCCTCCAAGTGTTTTCTCTTCAGGTGCTTTCCAATTCCCCTTTGAAATCCACAGTTGAACTGCCTCCACCATACTCATGGGCCTGAGTGCTCGCTGTGTAAAATAAACTTTTCCTTATGCCCATTTTGTCATTCACTTTAAATCAGTGTATTCTGGTTCTCAACCCTTCCATCAATGAGATCAGTTTCTTCCTCTTTACTCTGTCTAGAGTCCTCAAGATTTTGAATGCATGTCACAAATTTCCTGTCAACCTTCTCTCCTCTGTGGAGAACAAAGTCAGCTTCTCAAGTCTGTCCAAATAACCGAACTGAGGTAGCCAGATTTTTAATCAGTAAGGTAATCAAGGGTTGGGGGGAAAAAGCAGGAAAGTGGCACTGAGGATTATCAGATCAGCCATGATCCTGTCTATTGGTGAAGCAGACTCAATGTGCTGAAGCTGCAAAGCTTGATAGAAAATGCAATGTCGGTTTTAAGGCTGTGGCCTTAGTGAGTGTAGAAGTGAGGGCTTCAGCAATGGACATCATCTGGAGGAGCAAATGATCCTTCAAATCTTCCATAATAGCTATAACAATCCTCGGCCATTGGTGACAATGATGAGAACCATTTCGTACCCAAGTTGTGAATTTAGCTGCATTAACTGAAATCAACACTAGCTGTTTATTTCCGAAACTGACACCCCTTTAGGGTCAGCTGAGATCGTGTAAGAACCATGCAACACTGCAGATTTAAAATCCAGTAAAATGGAAGTTCATTTTATGACCAGTTTTGTTTTTTTTTAAATCCTGCAAGAGTAGTTGATCCAATTTCACTACTTAGACCTTGGTTGGTAATTTTATTTCTAAAGCTAAGTAGACATTAAGAGGTTGTTTGTTTGATTGGGGAATCTAAAACATAATCTCAGGAAAAGGTGTCAATTATTCAGAATTGAGGTGAGTGAAAATATTTTCACTGAACCTTTGGTATTCTCCATCCCACAGGGCAGTGGATACTACATTGACTCTAGTCAAGGCTGAGAGACATTTTCGATTTCTTAGGCTAGTGCTTCCAAATTTGTTCCTAATGTGACCCAACTTAATGTTTAAGAATTAGTGACATTCTGTGTTTGAGGTGGTGTCAGAAATGATTGCAGGAGGACGAGAGAGTCCTTGGCATTGTGTTTCCACCTTTGCTTAATAGAAACCTCTAAAGATTGGTTCTGTTTATTGGAGGATGTATCCCAGGACTGTCCCAACAGACAGATGCACAATAGAGGGTCAGCAGCTGTTGCTACAGAGAAGCACAGCTACAACTTCCTAACCCCAGTTTGCTGCAAGATAACCACAGAAATGATACAACACAGGTGACCTTTCACACCTCTTGTCCATGCCGACCCAAAGACACCCTTTCTAATCCCATCTTCCTGCACACGGCCTGTAGTTTACAGCAGTTAGGGTGCACATTCGTGTGCTTTTTAAGAGCATTTAGGGTTTTCTATATCCTGGTTACTTTGTCAGAATCAGTATTGTTGAGACGCATAAGGAGGCCATTCAGCCCATTGTGTCTTAGCACCAGCTAATGAGCATCATCACCTAGTGCCAACCTCCTGCTTTTCCCCCATACCCTTGCACACTATTTGTATTCAGTGTTATTCAATACCTGCTTAAAGGCTTCAATTGACACATTTCCAGGCAATGCATTCCATATCTTAACTACTCACTGTATGAAAATATGTTTTCTTACATCACCCTTGCTTCTTTTGCATTTCACTTTAAATCTGCAAATCTATTCTCGTTAGCGTAGTCCTCTTGAAAGCAACATGACAACAGTTGTTTCGGGTGGTGAGAAAGCTACTGAGGTCGGAGTGCTTGACTGGGACTGGGTCAACCAAATGGGAGAATAGGAGATTAGGTTAGTGGAGGGTGGAATTGATGAGCAGGGGGTCGGAGGGGTGGGCGTGGTGGGACAGTTGTTGAGTGAGGGGCCAATGGTTTTACTACAACTATTTCAAAGATTCTGATGGAGCACAGGAGCCAAGAGTCACCCATGCACATTCATTAGATCCTTGGTACCTGTTTCAAGACTGTCCTGACAAAGTCTTCACTTGACAATTTCCACCGCTACCTAAGAGCTGATGACCCTAGTGCTCATACCATGGTCTGGGATCCCCTGTCCTCAGAAAACAAATGATTTGGGGAACTAGTGGGAAAATGAAGTTGAGGGAGAAGATCAGCTGCAATCAAATTGATTGATTGATGAGCAAGCTTGAGGGGGTTGCATGGTTTACTTCCCCTATTTGCTGCGTTTGAATGTTCTTAAATATTTCCTACTATTTATTTGTTGTAAGCGCTAGATTGTCTGCTGGAGGGCTCAAATATACCGTTTGTGTCTTCATTTAGGTAAAAGAAAAAGTCGAGCAAGGCATGAGTGATAGTGGAGATTGGGGACTTGATGAAGAAGAACTTTCCAGTAAATTTAATTCTCGGACCAAAGCAATAATCATTAACACGCCCAATAATCCGTTGGGCAAGGTACGGCTTCAAAATCTAATCGTTGACTTTCTGAAAAGTTAGGCATCAAATAATAATCTATCAGATGTGCAAAGGAAACCACCTTTTATGTTAAGGGCAGGACTTATACAATTAGTGGTAGGGCCCTGGGTGGTGTTGTGGAAGGGAGACCTAGGGGCTCAGGTACGTAATTCTTTGAAATTTGTGTCACAGGTAGATGGGCTGTTAAGAAGATGTTTGGCATGCTTGCTTCATTGCTCAGACCATTGAATATACCATGGAGCGTACAAATTTGAGGGGTGACCTTATAGAGCTTTATAAGATCATGAGGGGCATAAATAAAGTGAGTAGCAAAGGTCTTTTCCTTAAGATGGGGGAGTTCAAAACCAAAGGGCATATTTTTGAGGTGAGAGGAGAACGATTTAAAACGACATGAGGGGCAACTTTTTTTACACGGAGAGTGGTTATTGTGTGACTGCCAGAGGAAGTCATTGCTGCAGGTACGATTACAACGTTTAGAAGACATTTGGATAAGTACATGAATAAGAATTGTTTGGAGGGATATGGGCAGGTGGGACTAGTTTAGTTTCAGAACATGGACTAGTTAGACCGAAGAGTCTATTTGACGCTATGACTGTATGTTGGATCACAGGTTCTGCATGGACTGCATCAAAAACAGTACCCTTGAATTTAAAATTAAATCAAACAACCGTGGTTAGTGAATACTGAACTCCATTCACATTCTTCCCGTTGAAGACACCCTCATGTGCTTGGGGAAGATGCTTCAACCATAAGACATCAGTCACTATTAGATTATGTATTTCAGTTCAAAGGGATTTAATAGATACTTTTGACCACTTTGTAGGCTATAACACATCTAGTAATTTAATTGCCTTTGATTTGATTTGATTTGTTATTGTCTCGTACCAAGATACAGTGTAAAGTATTGTATTGTGTGCCATCCTGGCAAATCATACCTTACATAAGTATGTCAGGGTAATAGAACAGAATGCAGAACATAGCGTTGTAGTTACAGAGAAGATGCAGAGAAAGATCAACTCTAATATATGAAAGGCCTGTTCAAAAGTCTGATAACAGCAGGAAGAAGCTGTTCTTGAATCTGTTGGTACGTGTTTTCAAATTTTTACACCTTTTGCCCAATGGAAGAGGGTTGAAGACAGTATAACCGATGTGGGGCCTTTGATTATAGAACATAAGAACCTGGAGCAAGAGTAGGCCATCTGGCCCTTCGAGCCTGCCCCACCATTCAATAAGATCTTGGCTGATCTTTTCATGGCCTCAGCTCCACATACCAACCATAACCCTTAATTCCTTTACTGTTCAAAAAAATTATCTATCTTAGCTTTAAAAACATTCAGTGAGGAATAGGGTTAGGGCAAGCGTTAGGATTAGAGTTATGTGCTGATCATTGTTGAATGGCTTGAGTGTTCCTTTTGCTGCTGCTTTAAATCCTGGACATTTTCTTAATCAACACTATGTGCTTCTGTTTTCTGAAAGTATCATAGCTTCCGTTGCAGCTGTCTTATCAAATGACGCTTATTCTTCAAATCAAATTACAGGAAGACATTCTGTTTGTATTACTGCCCTTAAAAATAAAAATGATGATGATGATACAAGGCCTGAAGTCTTTTTGATAAATAAACTGGCATGCTTCTTGGATTGCAGTGCTGTCAGTAATCCATTTGTTTTGATAGATTAGCCTGAGTTTGCAATGTTGTGTGCTATTTGATTGCTTTTTTAAAGCTTGGTTTTTGCAGCATTTTAAAAGAACAAGTTTGTTTGGTTTTTTTAATGCACCAAATCTCAAGACTACTGTTTTGGCTGGAGTTCCCTTTCATGTTCTAATGTAGTGTGGTTCATGCATTTAGATATTTAAAATGGAAGAACTGAAGATGATCGCAGACCTGTGCATTAAGCACGACGTTCTCTGCATCAGTGATGAGGTGTATGAGTGGCTCGTGTACAGTGGACATAAGCACATCAAAATAGGTAATACCGAGAAAATGGGCTTGTACTGGTGTATGCACACATCCTGCAGCAATGATCAGCTGTATCAGCCCTACTCCCTGGTATCCTTAAACTTTTCTACTTCTCTCTCCCCTTTCTGAGGCAATCCGTTAAAACCCACACTTTTGAAAATCATTTAGGCACCAGTCCTAATATTTCTTCCTTTGGGTCAATGTTGGTCTCTGTCAGTTTTCGTATTCTTGTGGAAAGCGGAGGGCTGTGGGACATTTTCCAATATTAAAAGCTTTATATAAATGCTAGGTCTTTTTAAGAGGCTTATAGAGTCAGGACAGGAATTCATATCTTTTTATTAGCCATTATCTAAACATTTTCCAAGAAAACCCATTGAGGTAAAGACTGCTCAGCGAAGGTCTCAACCCCAAATAAGATACATCAGGAAACATTTCTCAGGTTTTCTGAGACTCACTGCCTCGAGGTTTCTGGTTGATGGTTAGATGCACAGCGTTATGTTGTGACTGTCCTTGAGCCACTCGAGACCAACCAGCCTGTCAGTCCCCACCTTTTAATAATAAATGGCAATTGTGTGGTTTGTTATTGAAATGGATCTTCTTCATTGGGGATTTTACTAGGCTTCATTTTTTTTTTCCCCAACTATGGCTATGAAATGCTTTCTCTTTTTGCCTTTGTTCTGCCCAAAAGCCTCCCTGATCGTTGCTGGTGATGAGAAGGAAGAAATATGTCCTGCTGTTAGGCCTTCACAATTATGGTTTGATTTGACAGATTTACACGAATACTTTTGGGTTGTTCTTTGAGCAAGATCAATTCAAATTCTGGGAATAGCTTAACCTTGTAGTCCCTCTTAAACTCCCTTTTCCAGCATTGACTGACATTGGGAATTGTACAATGCCTTAACCAATAGACTCATGCAGCACGGAAATCGTAAACAATGGCAGTTTAGTCAGTGCTGGCCAGAGGAATGGAGTAGAAAATTGATGAACTGTAATTAAGATACATTTGCTCAACGTATTGAGAAACCATATTGCGTTACTTAATCTGCACATTTAGTTCCACAAATGTTATGTTATACTAAACATGCTGCCGTCAGCAAAAATAGATGACTTTGTTCACTTCTGCTTGCTTTTTCCTGTATTCAATGTAGTAATTGAAGGTTTAAACCATTTCCTTGACTAGGAATGCTCTTATTGTAGTTTTCACTCCTCAGCCTTAAATTCCTTGGTAATTATGTTTCCAGTGGGTACCAAATGCTCCTGATATTTTATCCAGATAGTCAAGTTTCACAGTGAGTCCAGGCAGCTGAGGCTTGATTTCTCACTTTCTGCCTTTGCAATGTACAGGCAGCACTCCTTTGGCATACCCTGTCGTTGAACATGCAGTGTGGGCTTTGGCAGGGTTGGATGTTGGGTGGGATAATGGCTGAAAATCTGCTAACCACTTGGCCATTTTACCAAGGGGAGCAGAGATTCCTCATTAAGCTTAAACCTTCGCCAACATTCAAACCACAGGACATTGGATAGTGGTCAGAAGCAGAGATTCCAACAACATCTCTCCAGGATTTACCCACACTCTGCCTTGACAATCTGAGCTAATTAGAGCCTCTCATGTTTTTACTATATTGAGGTACACTTCCTTATGTTACTTAGCTCTTCAATAGCATTAGGTGGCCAGTTAATTTCACATTCATTTTGCCTTTTGCCTTCATAGCAACTTTGCCAGGAATGTGGGAAAGGACTATTACCATTGGAAGTGCTGGGAAGACTTTTAGCGTGACTGGTTGGAAGGTGAGTATTTTAAAAATATACCTGTTTGCTTGCTTGTTTTAAACTGTAAATGAGTAGCTCACATAATGTTCCACATGGAGACTCTTTCAGCTAGAGTCTTCAGAAATAAAGTTCTGATCATTTAGCTGTGGCTCAGTGTGAAGCAACCTTGCCTTTGAGTCAGAGCATTCTGGGTTCAAAACTCACGTGAACAAGGTGCACTACTGAGGTGAAATGTAGCTTTAAACCAAGGCTCCATCTCCTGGTTCTGAAGAAGAGTCACTGGACTTGAAATGTTAACTCTGTTTCTCTCTCTCCACAGATGCTGCCAGACTTGCTGAGTTTCTCCAGCAATTTTTGTTCCACCTCTCTCTCTCTCTCTCTCTCCCTCGGATCAATGCAAGAAACCCCCAGCACTAATTTGATGTAGAACAGGGGACATATCCAAAGTTCGTGGGCACTATGTAGTCTTTAATGAACACAACTCAAAACTGATAATCTAGCCATTATCACATTGCTGTTTGTGCGAGTTTGCTATGCACAAATCACTTTGTCTCCTACGTTACAATAATGACATTACTTCAACTTTGTGCAGCTTAAATATTTTAGGAGCATGGCTTTCCAATTCACATCCAGCAGCAAAGTGCCATTCATAGTAAATGTAAATAAAGATGCTCGGCCAAAGAAATGAAAGTACACTTGGGAGGAGACCTTGAGAGGAACCTTCAGAATGCTGACTGTGTTTGAAATTTTGCAAGGATATTTTCTCCCTTTGTTTTAAATACTTCACTGTCATTTGTCCAATTGTAATCTCCCTTAAGGGATTGTCCTATCTGTCCTGCATGTATCCATTCTCTGCACTTCCTTTTAATTTCCTGGCAGATAACTATTAATCAGAAAGCTATTTTAAATTGTGCTGAAATTAGTCTGACCTTACTTTAAGGCAAATCTTTGACATTGAAGCCTATCAAATCTTCTGAGCTAATGACCTTAAGATACAGCAAAGGGAGCTCTTTATTTGCAATCATTTAAAAGTACAGTTGGTTTGTGAATGTGCATCAAGAGCTATCACAAGAGCAACTGCACATGTGCAGATTAGTCACATTGGCCATTTTTAATGGTGACACCCTATTTCCTGCAGTGGGAACAAATACTTGGGAATAGTTAATTGGCTTTGAAACATTTTGGGATGTTCTAAGATTGTGAAAGATGCTATATAACTGAAAATCTTCGGTCTTTTTCATTTAAAATAATGGTCAGTTGTATTTTACAGAATGTGGTAGAATGAACATTTATAGTGTGGCTTTTTTTAATCTCCTCTGACAGCTTGGTTGGTCTATTGGTCCAGCGCACCTGATAAAACATCTTCAGACTGTTCAACAGAACACCATTTATACTTGCAACACTCCTGTTCAGGTAGGAAGATCTTTTAATTAGTGACAACTACAGAAATCAATCAGTACTCAGTGTTTGAATGGGTTATTCATAGAAGATTTCATTCCAGGACGTTGGTCCCTCCACATCTGTGATGCCAGCTCTTGGAGACAGCTATCCAATTAGTTCCACTTTCAGTCTCATAGATCATAGAATAGGTCATAGAATCCCTACAGTGTGGAAACAGGCCCTTCGGCCCAACAAGTGCACACCGACCCTCAGAACATCCCACCCAGACCCATCCCCCTATAACCCACCCAATCTATACATTCCTGAACACTATGGGCAATTTAGCATGGCCAATCCACCTAGCCCGCACATCTTTGGACTGTGGGAAGAAACCGGAGCACCCGGAGGAAACCCGCGCAGACACGGGGAGAATGTGCAAACTCCACACAGACAGTCACCCGAGGGTGGAATCAAACCTGGGTTCCTGGCGCTGGTCTCATTCTCCATTGTGCTGGGATTTGAATCCATGTGAATAATTTATCTAGTGCTGTTTGGAAGTGACTTTGATTCTGTTTATGTTTGCTTGATTGTTTAACCTTTATTAGCTACTAAAACACTTTAAATGTGTATGTGATGTTGTTCAGACACTGGGACTGTATATCTTTTAACTAAAAGGTAGTTGCAATGTCAACCAACCAAAAATAGCTACGAGTATTCAGTTCATTTTCTCTGCAGCTGCATTCTGCGTACATTAGAAGTTCAGCTGCTTCACTTATCGATCAGACTGCGATGTAATTTCCTTGTACTCCCTTTTAAACTCAGCTGCTGTGTTGGGTCCCAGACCTTGCCCAATGCAGCTCTCTAGTTGATTGCTCGGAACCTCCTGTGGTAGTCAGACTGGATCCTTGGAGGAAATAGGAACCCTGATCATGAAGAAAATCTCCTCTTTTGCCATTGCTTGCACAGCTGGGCTGTGTGGCTTTTGTTTTAAATTTGCCTGACTTGTTCTTGAATTAAGTTTGTAAATACAGCAATGTTGGCATGTGACAGTTTTAACGGACTCCAGATGCAGCTGACCTTAGGGCTTTGGAGCAAGTTCCTTATTTTCATTGCCTCCTAATGTTGTTAATTCACTGATATTTGAGGCTTTCAAAATGCACTCGAATTTTTGTTTTCTTTAGTTTACGTTTTTGAGGAATTATATTCAGGTGGAAGGATGTCGAAGGTAGTCTCCTGTAATCCGTGGATTTATTTTGGATTAGGATTTTCCTCCTTGTTGCTGGTAGCCTTGTATCTCCGAACATAACTGCCGATTTATGTGGCAGCTTCCATTTTTTTAAGATCTGAGTCAGAAATATTTCACAAATGGCGCAAGGAATTGTGAGACTGAGCATTGGGAACCAGCAGAGGCTCGGCACTTCTCAACCGGTTTTCTCAACTGAGTTCAAATAAATGTTGTAGAAGTGATCACATTCATGTGGGCTTCTCAATTATTCACACTTCTCCTTCAAAAAATCTGCAAAAGTAATTGTGCTATTAGGACATTTGGACAGCTGAGTAGCAATCAATTTGGGAGCCTTGCCGTCCAAATATTTTTGCCATTTCATGAGTGCATAAATGTTCCAACTAAATGATCATTTGCTTGCACTTTGCTCAATAACCACTTCTCCTCTCACCATTTGCTAAACAATGCCTTGGACTTCTTGACATTCTCTTAATTGTAAAATTCACTGTTTATAGCGATATTTCAGACCTCTGACTAGCAGTGTGCAGGGACAGAAGGTCCTGGGGTTAATGTGCATATAATGATTTCTAATTTATCATTAAGACCTTGTGACGCAAAGCTTGATACTGCTTGATAGACAAATTGTTGCCATTTTCGATGATTTCTAGCAAACACATCTCAATCATTAAGGTCAATGCAGGTAACTTGTTTCCCCTGTGTGGGGAGTTTAGCATCAGAAGGCCTGATTTTTAAAAAACGGGAGAGTGCCACTTAGGGATAGTAGGAACTGCAGATGCTGGAGAATCCGAGACAACAAGGTGCAGGGCTGGATGAACACAGCAGGCCAAGCAGCATCATAGGAGCAGAGAGGCTGACGTTTCGGGCCTAGACCCTTCATCAGAAAGTGCCACTTAGGACTGTGCTGAGGAGAACTTTTTGTTTTGCTCAGAGGATTGGAAGCTTTGAAATTCTCCACCAAGAGAGCTATGGAAGCTCAGTTTTTAAGATAATTTAAAGTAGAAGTTAATTGATTTTTGATTATAAATGGCATTATGGGGATGGAATGGGTAAAAGGCCTTGAAGTATTTGATAAGCTGTGATCTTATTAAACAATGGAGCAGGCCCAATGGGCTGAATGGGCTTGTTTCTGTTCCTGTGTTCCTATTTTCAATCACTATTAAAATTCTGGGTTGGCTTTTGCTATTTTCCTGAGTTAACAGATGCTGCAGGTCTTAACCTGATGGAACATCATTTCAAGAAGGAAAGGGAATTCCTGGCCTGGAGATCATTCTGAAAGTTCCACTTTGGAAGAAGTAATACAATTTTATGTTTACTGTTTTGCATACGCCTCAGCCAATGCATCTCGTTTTGGGCTGTTTTTAATGCATAATATTTGATGGGAAGCAAAGCAAGCCATGAGCTTGAAGTTCAGAGAAGCACATATTGTAACAAAGTAGCCCTTAGTTGATAGCACTGCCTCTAATATCTATGTATCTACTAAGGTCATATGGACGAAACACCATATATTTAAAATATTCAGTGCAGTGCAAGAAAGTCATTGAAACCTCTTGTGTCAAGCTCTGTCTATGGCAAAGTGCACTTGGGAAAGCATCAACATTAACCTGCAGTATCTGTTATGGTTTTGTTGTGAAATGGATCACCAATGAAATGAAAAGATCTGTTTGTAAATTAAATCCTTTCACTTCCAAACTCTCCCTGTTTTGTTTCATTTCTACACTTGAGTATATTTGATGGAATGTCAAAAAGCTCACTGATCCAGATCTGTTAATGTCCAGATAGTCAGAGAGGCCTAATGTATCCTGACAAGTGATTGCTGAGACCCTTGGAGATGGTTACATAATTGCCTAGGATGTTTGAATTTGCAATGGGCAATTAATTGGCATCTGAACCCTCCAAAAATTTCTCTTATTCTCTGAAATCTGAGACTTACATTGCTTAATAGTTGGCCAGCAAACATTTAGAAAAATTAAAGCCGGCCGACGATAAATTTCTCTACCCAACCTTCTCACTTTATCCCCTTGCCACTCACTTTGTAGCCCTTCCTCACCCCCTCATCCCTTTATCCACTTACATGACATTATTCATTTATTGATTCACTAAAAAGGTGTTTAAGCTAACCAGTGTGTTATTCGATGATTTATCCGATTGCTAGTTATTGCTTAATAAAAACCGAAAGAACTGCGGATGCTATGGAAAAGCTCAGCAGGTCTGTTTTGGTTCTGGTGACCCTTCCCGTATAACCCTTCTCAGTTCTGAGGAAAGGTCACTGGACCTGAAAGGTTAACTCTGATTTCTCTTCACAAATGCTTCCAGACCTGCTGAGCTTTTCCATCAACTTCAGTTTTTGTTGTTGGGCCAGTTTTTGCTTGACTGTCTTACTCTGAGGATTCAGCTGGACTAAAGATTTGCTCCACATTTCCTGGTCCTATGGTGTCTGAAGTTGGGCCCAGAAACGTGGGAGGCAGGTGCAGGCTAATAATGTAGCTTTTAGCAACTTTTAGCATAGCTCCATTTGCAAGCTCTAATCATGGTGGGATACAACCCATGATCTCATCAGGTGAGTTAATGCTTTGAGGGAGATTAAAACAAAAAGCTTCATGGAACCGCTGTTTAAACTATTCCTATTTCATCCGCTTCTTCCTCTCCTGCAGGCCCAACCAGTCCCCCTCCACTGACCCCCTTATCTGCCTAACCGAACTTGTCCTTGCCCTCAACAACTTTTCCTTTAACTCCTCCCACTTCCTACAAACTAAAGGGATGGCTGTGGGCACCTGTATGCATCCAAGTTAAGCCTGCCTCCTCGTAGGATATGTGGAACAAACCCTCTTCCGCAGTTACACTGGCACCGTCCCTCACCCCTTCCTCCGCTACATTGATGACTGTATCGGTGCTGCCTCGTGCTCCCATGAGGAGCTTGAACAGTTCATCAACTTTACTCACATCTTTCACCCCAACCTCAAATTCACCTGGACCATCTCTGATACCTCCCTCCCCTTCCTGGACATCTCTGTCCCCATATCCGGTAACCGTCTCAGCACCAATATCTATTTCAAACCCACCGACTCCCATAGCTTCCTTGACTACACTTCCTCTCACCCACCCCCCAAGAATGTGATCCCTTACTTCCGATTCCTCCACCTCTGCTGCATCTGCTTCCAAGATGGAGCATTCCACTCCCAGACATCCCAGATGTCCTCCTACTTCAAGGACTGCAACTTCCTCGCTCCGTAGAGCCGTAATGCCTTCAACCACATCTCTTGCATTTCCTGCCCTCAAACTCCATCCCCCCAAACAAAAATAAGGACAGAGTTCCCCTGGCCCTCACATACGCACCCCACCAACTTCCACATCCAGTGTATCATCCTCCGCCACTTCCGCCACCTGCAATCCGACCCCACCATCAAAACGATATTTCCCTCCGCACCCCACCTGCCTTTTGTAGGATCTGCTCACTCCGTAACTCCCTTGCCTGCTTCACAGTCCCCACCAGCCCCACCACACCCAGCACCTTTCCCTGCAACCGTAGTGGGTGCTACACCTGCCCCTTCAGCTCCCCTGTCACCACCAGACAAACTTTCCAAATCCGACAGGGATTCACCTGTACGTCCTCCAACCTGGTCTATTGTACCCATTCTTCCCGATGTGGTCTCCTCCACATCACTGAGCCCAAGCACAGACTCGGTGACCAATTTAAAGAGCATCTGTGCTCTGTATGTTATAATCAACAACACCTTCCAGTTGCCAACCATTTTAACACCCCCTCCCACTCCCTGGGTGACATGTCCATCCTGGGCCTCCTCCAGTGTCACAATGACACCACCCGCAAACTGGAGGAGCAGCACCTCATATTCTGCCTCGGGACCTTACAGCCTGATGGTCTCAACGTAGAATTCACCAGTTTCAAAACCTCCCCACCCCTGGCCTCACCCATGTCTAACCCTCCTTCTCATCCCCGCCTCCTTAACCTGACACAATCTGTCCATCTTCTCTGCCACCTATCCGCACCACCCTTCCCACAGACCAATCCCTACCACTCCCTACCTACAACCACCTATCACCATCCCACCTACCTTCCCCCAGCCCCACCCCTCCTCCCTCTATTTATTTCCCAGCTCCCTTGCCCCTCCCCAATCCTGATGAAGAGTGTAAACCCAAAACATTGACTTTCCTGCTTCTCTGATGCTGCCTGACCTGCTGTGTTCCTCTAGCTCCACTCTGTATTGACTCCTGTTTCATGTGGTTTAATGACATACTTGGTTTTGGTTCTTTATCTTCTCCTTGACCTGCCTATAAGGTCAAAGGTATCTTCAGGTGTAGACTTCAAAGGAACACTATATCCATTATACGTTAACTAAATACTGCTGTACTTAGTCATAGATATACCAGACTCTGACTTATAATTACATGAGGTAAGGACTAATATATCTTTGACTGTTCAGGTCCATGCTGTAAGGTGGCCTGGAGCAGAGTTTGAGAGTTCAGAGTGTTCTAATTCCACCCACTTTGTCAATTTATATTCATGATGAACAGCTCCATGACAACGTTGTAAGGTTGCTCCAGGACCCTAACTCCCTTTTGAAGAACACTTCTTATCTCCTTGTCAGAAACATTAATTATCACAGATATACATTCACAAATGAATTATCTAGAATCATAGAATCCCTACAGTGCCGATAGACACCATTTGGCCTATTGAGTCTGCACCGACCCTCTGAACAACATCCCACCCAGACCCAAACTCACCCCCCAACCCTGTCTCCATAACTCTGCATTAACCATGGCCAATCCACCTAGCCTGCACATCTCTGGACACAACGGGACAATTTTTTCACATCTTTGGACTGTGAGGGGAAACCGGAGCACCCGGGGGAAACCCACGTGGACACACGGGTTTGAACTGGGTAGATTATTTGGTTTAACAACATTTCCTGAATGTTTTCACTTTGTTTCTCCCACCTGTGTCTAAGTCTTTGAATTGAATGATCTATGTTGATAGGCAGTCAAAGAAAGTCTATAAGAAGGTATAGAAAGACTTGAGATAAAGTTGGTGATCTTAGCATTAGACACAATTGTTCGATCCCGTAGGAAATATTTATTCCATCAACGTGTTGTTCTGCAAGTGAAGAAGCTTGTTCCCTTACAGTATTGAAGTGTTTTTCAAGGTTCTGCTCCAAGGCGTGAATGCACATGTTGAGTTGAAAATTATTTAATTTGTTTACAATCCGGAAGCTGATTGAAGCCTGAAGAATTGTGTTTTCTAAATTTGCTAAATTGCTGATCTATTAAATTGATATGCAATGAACCTAATAGTTTCCAAAATAAATATAAGATAGTCACTGAAAAACAAAGAAATTCAGGAAAATCATTATTACTCAGAAAATGGTTAGAATTGTGAACTCAGTACTGCATGAAATAGACGATCTAACTTGTATAAATACGTTTAAAGAGAAGCTACTTAATCACGGGAGGAGGAAATAACGAGTTTCAATGATAGGTGGGGAGAGAGTTCCAAAATTTTGACCCAGTGAAACTGGAGGAATTGCAATATATTTCCAAATCATAATGGTGAGCAGCTTGGAGGGGAACTTGAAGATGGTTGTATTCCAATGTATCTGTTGCCCTCATCCTAGAATTTGTTGTCTGATGATCCCTGGTGAATTTCTGCAGTATATCTTGAAGATGGTACACAATTCTACTACTGTGCATCAGTGGTGGAAGGAGTGAATGTTTAAGGATATGGTGTCAGTTAAACAGACTGTTTTGCCCAGGATGGTGTCAAGCTTCTTGAGAGTCATTTAGGCAAGTGGGGAATATTCAGTCACACTCCTGATTTGTGACTTTCAAATGATGGACAGGTTTTGGAGAGTTGGGAGGTGAATGTTAGATCTCATACTTTCCAATGAGTGTCTGAGTCATGGATTGGTTTCAGGTAACCTTTATTGCAGCTTTATTTTTGGTACAGCTTCATATCTCCAGAGCGATAGGGCACATAGAAAGCTTCAGAATGTCTTAACTTATCCAGTTTAAACTTAGAGCGCACATGCTCCCCCCTCGCCCCCTTGATTGCGATTGGTCAGCAGCACTTAGTTATCCCTTTGTAATTGGCTGTCTGTTACAGCATCTTATACAGTTTGAGCTTGCGTCAGCAATTTACTTGACACTGTGTAACTGGTGATAGTCCTTAACCTGAAGGAAGTACTGCTGCACTCAACAATTTCAATGTATTTCCTATTAAGCTAATCATATCACTGAACGCCAAAGAGATGTACAGGTTTGTGGTCCACCGCTGATTCTCCATGATTTCATGATGTTACCAAACTCTCTTATCTCCCTGTACTGATATGGGGGGGAGGAGGAGGGGGGCGGGGGCGGTGGGGTCTGCTCTTACCATCTGAGACCGGTTTGAACCTTTTCCTCTGATGCTTTTAGTGAATTTTTGTATATAGATGGATCTTTAACTATATAGATATCTATATCTGTAATTATCTAAAGAACCTTAACTAAAACATACTCTTAGAATTGTAACAGATTGTTTAAATAATTTGAGAGAAACAACTAATTAGTGTGAAATGTTCTTGTCTATGTCTTATGTATAAGCAGCTGCAGCTGCACATTCCATCTCAGTCCAGTAAGCTTGAGTCTACAGAGCTAATATTGTTCTACTTGTGAAGACTACATTAAGCAAATATTTTTCCCAAACCCTGTAACTACTGTCAGCCGTTTTCTGCTGTGTTAGCCATGGGAAGCCAGTGGCCATTTTGTACCGCTCAATCATGGGCAGCCCTAACAGTGAGTTACTTATTGTAAGATTCCTAGCCTCTCACTTGTTCCTGTAGCCACAGTATTTATATGGCCAGTCCAGTTCAATTTCTGGAGAATGGTGACGTTTATAGTTGAGGATGTGGTGATGATAATGCCATTGAATGCGTTCAACTGAGTGTGGCATCACAGATCCCTAGCAAAACTGGAATCAATGGGTAATGGAGGAAAACTCTCCAGTGATTAGAGTCATACCCGACACATAGGAAAATTGACACAAGGTCAGAAGTGGGGATGTTCGTTAATGATTGCACAGTGTTCAGCACCATTCGCGATTCCTCAGACACTGAAGCAGTCCATGTCCAAATGCAACAAGATCTGGACAATATCCAGGTTTAGACAGACAAGAGGCAAGTAACATTTGCACCACACAAATGCCAGCCTATGACTGTCATCCGCAAGAGACAATCTAATGAAGCATGATCTACCCCTCACAAATCCATGCTGACTATCACAAATCAAACTGTGCCTATCCAAGTGATCATAAATCCTATCTCTCAGAGCCCTTTCCAATAATTTGCCCACCACTGAAGTAAGACTAACTGGCCTGTAATTTCTGGGTTATCCCTATTCCCTTTCTTGAACAAGGGAATGACGTTTGCCACTCTCCAATCTTCTGGCACTATACCTGTGGACAGTGAGGATGAAAAGATCATCGCCAAAGGCCCTACGATCTCTTCCCTCACTTCCCATAGAATCCTTGGATAAATCCCATCAGGCCCAGGGGACTTATCTATCTTCAAGTTCCCCAAAATTCCTAGTCCATCTTCCTTAATAACATCCACCTCCTCTAGCCTACCAGCTTGTTTCACACTGTCCTCCCCTACAACTAGGTCCCTCTCAGTTGTGAATACCGAAGAAAAGTATTCATTAAGGACCTCTCCTATCTGTTTAGCCTCCGTGCACAAATTCCCTTTACAATCCTTGATCAGCCCTACTCTTTCTCTGGTCATTCTCCTATTCCTCACGTACTTGTAAAAAGCCTTGCGGTTTTCCTTGATCCTATCTGCCAAGGTTTTCTCATGCCCCCTTATTGCTCTACTAAGCCCTTTCTTCAGCTCCTTCCTGGCTAACTTGTATCCCTCTAGAGCCCTTTATGATCCTTGTTTCCTAAACCTATATAAGCATCCGTTTTCCTCTTAACTAATCATTCGACCTCTCTTGAGAACCAAGGTTCCCTCACTCGACCGCATCTTCCCTGCCTGCTAGGGACAAACATATTGAGCAGGAAGACAATGTCTGTTCCCATTTTATGTTACCCAGTTCTTGCCTAACAGAATTATAATTACTCTTCCCCCAGTTATAAACCTTACCCTGCTGTATGTAGCTATCCTTTTCCATGACTATTGTAAAAGTAACAGAGTTATGAACACTACCGCCAAAATGCTCTCCTACCAACAGGTCTAACACTTGGCCCGGTTCATGGCCCTTGCCAAGCACCAAATCCAAAATGGCCTCTCCTCGCGTTGGTCTATCTACATACTGTGTCAGGAATCCTTCCTGAATGCACTGGACAAAATCCGCTCCATCTAAACTATTACAACTAAAAAGTTCCCAATCAATATTTGGAAAGTTGAAGTCACCCATGACTACAATCCTGTGACTTCCGCACCTTTCCAGTATCTGCCTCCCAATCCGCTCCTCTACTTCTCTGCAACTATTAGGGGGTCTGTAAAAAACCCCCAACAAAGTGACTGCTCCTTTCTTGTTCCTGACCTCAACCGAAACTGACTGTGTAGACATATCATTCTCGAACTTTGTGAGCTTTTGAAACTGTAAATCTGGGTATGTTTGGAAAAAAGCTGTGAAGTACACCAACTGAGGCCATTTGTCATCATCTCGTACACAGGAAGCTGTTGCCCGAGGTATTCAGAAGGAATATGGCCGCCTGACAGATGAGGATTGCTACTTCCTGTCTCTACCCCGTGAGCTGGAAGTCAAGCGGAACCGCATGGCCCAGTTTCTCCATGCTGTCGGGATGAAGCCAGTCATCCCTGAAGGTGGTTACTTCATGGTTGTCGATATTTCCACTCTAAGTAAGTGCTTTGCCCCTTCGTTCACCTCTCTCTGCCTAAAGCACAGAAAAAAACACTGAGGATTTAGTAACTCAACACCACCACTGAGCTTTGCTCAGGTACCTCAATCTTGTACTGGTGCCAGCTGTGACACGTAGCTGGATCTGAAATATTTCCTTCCATTTCTTGAATGATCTATGAAAGTAACAGAGGAGTTTTGTTACGAATGGAAAATTGGATTAACCCCACCATATATTCGTGTCTGATTTTAGACTCAACAAATTACGAGACTCAGTGCAAGATAAATGGGTCCACAGTTCTGACTTGAAAATGATCCAAGGGTACACTGCTGACGACAGTCTGTCAGTGGGTGGTTGTGTACTACTTTGCTTGGCCATTGGATTACTCAGAAGTGGTCATGAGATTGTGTGAACGGAATACCCGCACCATATACTGGGCCGATTGCCAAGTGCTGGAAGACATTAAAACGAAAACTGCCAGACAACAGATGTTCCAGTCAGGAACTGGTACATTCACCTATGTAAACCAGTACAGTTATTATGCGATCCCTAACGTAAACAGGTTTGACAGATCTCAGCTAGGGGCAGTGGTTGAATGATCTTTTGATCACAAAGGAAGGGCAGAAGCTCCTTCCCTTGATGCTCGTTGTTCTGACACACTGAGAAAATGGCTATTTGAATTAAGGACAGTATTCTGTGCAGAGGCAATACCTCACATTGAATATGCAACTGGCATTTGTTGCCAAGGTTAACAATGTGGGGTATGGTCACATGGGTGAACCTTCAGAGGATGTAGAGTTAGGTTATGTGTTAAATTTCAGCAGTGGGTAGGCAGGAAGGAAGCTATATTTGGTGTATACACAAGCTTTTTTTAAAAGTATTAAAGTTTCCAGATTGTTTGGTCAATGGAAGCAATTTCTGTGTCTGATGCTGAATCTCAAAGACCTGAAAAATGCCGACTTGAACCATAACCCATCCAATGAAATAATGAATTTCTTCTAAACCTTTGCACAATGTTCCCTTTAGATGTCGATCTCTCCAAAATGGAAGGGAATGAGCCTTATGATAACCTCTTTGTGAAGTGGATGATTAAAAACAAGGTAAGTTCAGCTTGATTTTTTTTAATATAAAGTAAGTGTTTTCATGTTGAATAGTGTCAGTGTGTCCTCGGGTTCTCAATCAGAAGGTTGTCTGTTTCAATCCTTCTTCCAAGACCTGAGCATTAAATCTAGGCTGACACTGCATTGTCCTTTGTTGAGAGATGGCTCAGCTAATGGCACTGCCATCCTTTTGGTATTAAACTGATATGCTGTCCCAGTCTCACAAGAATGTAAAAGAGACCACAACTTCTTTAATAACAAAGTGTTTCTCTTGGTGACATGGGCAGTTCTTAACCGTTAATTAACTGTTGACCATCAAAGCTTAGGTGCAATAAGAATTTACTCTTATAAAGAATCTTCATGTTCTTAACTTGTGCAAAATTTCACAGATAATGCGATAACCTCTTTTAGAAACATCAATTCGTCATAGAGATATACAGCATATAAACAGACCCTTTGGTCCAACTCCTCCATGCCAACCAGATATGCTATAAAATCGAGTCCCATTTGCCAGCATTTGGGATTAGGTTTATATAGGATATCTGGTCGGGATGGACAAATTGGAACAAAGGTCTGTTTCCACACTGTATATCTCTGTGACTCTAATTGATGTTTCTAAAAGAGGTCATATTTGTGAAATTTTGCACAAGTTAAGAACATGAAGATTGTTTATACGTGTAAATTCTTATTGCACCAAAGCTTTGAAAATTCAAACCATTGGAATGAAATGAACTATGGTTACCGCTTCTCTTCCACTGTCGGGTGAATCATATGAACTTGTGGAGGCCATTCAGCCCATTATGTCTGTTCTGAAATTCAGCCTGATTTGCCTCATTGCCTGATCTGTATTTCATTTACTTCTCTTTGATCCATTTCCCTTGATAATCAGCCTTACTGTACAAAAAAGAACTACTTGATCTGAGTCTTCAAAACTTCATGTAAGCTGACTACCTCTGTTACCTTTTTGAGGAAATGGTGGTTCCTAATTTTAATCCTGAATGGCATAGATCTAATTTTAAATAAGTCCTAGTATCCTTCTGGTAAATTTGTACCATACCACCTTCAAAGTCAGTATACCCTTGCTGCAGAAGACTGTTCAAAGCTGAACACAGTACCCCAGAGGAGGATGGGCCAAGTGTCTATACAACTGCTTCTATAGGTATGTCAGGAATAAAGGAATGACTAGAGTAAGATTAGGACCGGTCAAGGACAGTAGTGGGAAGTTGTGCGTGGAGTCCGAAGAGATAGGAGAGGCACTAAATGAATGTTTTTCGTCAGTATTCACACAGGAAAAAGACAATGTTGTCAAGGAGAATACTGAGATACAGGCTATTAGATTAGACGGGATTGAGGTTCATAAGGAGGAGGTGTTAGCAATTCTGGAAGGTGTGAAAATAGATAAGTCCCCTGGGCCGGATGGGATTTATCCTAGGATTCTCTGGGAAGCTAGAGAGGAGATTGCAGAGCCTTTGGCTTTGATCTTTATGTCGTCATTGTCTTCAAGAATAGTGCCAGAAGACTGGAGACTAGCAAATGTTGTCCCCTTGTTCAAGAAGGGGAGTAGAGACAACCCTGGTTATTAAAGACCAGTGAGCCTTACTTCGGTTGTGGGTAAAGTGTTGGAAAGGATTATAAGAGATAGGATTTATATAGAAAGGAATAATTTGATTAGGGATAGTCAACACGGTTTTGTGAAGGGTAGGTCGTACCTCACAAACCTTATTGAGTTCTTTGAGAAGGTGACCAAACAGGTGGATGAGGGTAAAGCGGTTGATGTGGTGTATATGGATTTCAGTAAAGCGTTTGATAAGGTTCCCCATGGTAGGCTATTGCAGAAAATACGGAGGCATGGGATTGAGGGTGATTTAGCGGTTTGGATCAGAAATTGGCTAGCTGTAAGAAGACAGAGGGTGGTGGTTGATGGGAAATGTTCATCCTGGAGTTCAGTTACTAGTGGTGTACCTCAAGAATCTGTTTTGGGGCCAATGCTGTTTGTCATTTTTATAAATGACCTGGATGAGGGCGTAGAAGGATGGGTTAGTAAATTTGCGGATGACACCAAAGTTGGTGGAGTTGTGGATAGTGCGGAAGGATGTTGCAGGTTACAGAGGGACATAGATAAGCTGCAGAGCTGGGCTGAGAGGTGGCAACTGGAGTTTAATGCGGAAAAGTGTGAGGTGATTCACTTTGGAAGGAGTAACAGGAATACAGTGTACTGGGCTAATGGTAAGATTCTTGGTAGTGTGGATGAGCAGAGAGACCTCGGTGTCCATGTGCATAGATCACTGAAAGTTGCCACCCAGGTTGATAGGGTTGTTAAGAAGGCGTACGGTATGTTAGGTTTTATTGGTAGAGGGATTGAGTTTCGGAGCCATGAGGTCATGTTGCAGCTGTACAAAACTCTGGTGCAGCCGCACTTGGAGTATTGCGTACAGTTCTGGTCACCGCATTATCGGAAGAATGTGGAAGCATTGGAAAGGGTGCAGAGGAGATTTACCAGGATGTTGCCTGGTATGGAGGGAAGGTCTTATGAGGAAAGGCTGAGGGACTTGAGGCTGTTTTCGTTAGAGAGAAGGTTAAGAGGTGACTTAATAGAGACATACAAGATGATCAGAAGATTAGATAGGGTGGACAGTGGGAGCCTTTTTCCTCGGATGGTGATGGCTAGCACAAGGGTACATAGCTTTAAATTGAGGGGTGATAGATATAGGACAGATGTCAGAGGTAGGTTCTTTATTCAGAGAGTAGTAAGGGCGTGGAATCCCTGCCTGCAAAAGTAGTAGACTCGCCAACTTTAAGGGCATTTAAATGGTCATTGGATAAACATATGGATGATAATGGAATAGTTTAGGTTTGATGGGCTTCAGATTGGTTTCACAGGTCGGCGCAACATCGAGGGCCGAAGGGCCTGTACTGCGCTGTAATGTTCTATGTTCTATGTTCTATGCCTCTTAAGGTAAAGGTTAACCTTATGCTTTTAATTACAATTTAATTTTAACTTCTAATTTTTCTACATGTCCACTAGCTCTTTGTCAGTAATGTACATAGACATCCAAAACTCTTTGATTCTTCATAGTTCTTGCCTTCTTCCCACTAAGACCTTAATCTGATTTGTCTTCTTTGAATCTGTACTGATTCTAATGAGTTCAGCCAGGTGGATATCATAGAATATGAGTTCCGTGATTGGGGCTGTTAATCTGGTCCAATCAGGGACCTCTGGCTGGCAGATAAAACAGGAGTATCAGACATCCTGACACCCAGAGAGTTGGTTCTGAGGGAGCTGGATCAGTGTCGAAGATTTGATTTATTATTGTCACATGTGCTTAGGTACAGTGCACAGTTTTGTTTTGCTTGCAGTATTGGCAGATCATAACAATACAAAGATCACAGGGTGATTGAGCGGAGTGAGGAATACAAAGTTACAGCTGCAAAGAAGCTGCACCAAAAGCGAGATCAACATTAGATTTGAAATTTGAGAGGTCCATTCAGAAGTCTAATAACAGCAGGGAAGAAGCTGTTCTTGAACCTATTGGTATGTGTGTTTAAGCTTTTGTATCTTATGCCTCATGGATAAGGTTGGAAGAGATTATAACCAGGATGGGAGGGATCTTTGATGATGTTGGCTGCCTTTCAGAGGTACAAGTATAGATGGAGTCAATGGACATTCCATATGTAAATAAAGGGTGACTTGGTAAGGGATACTGGCCTCTGTGGAATGATTTCACGTGATTGGTGAGGCAGCACATTGTGCCCTTTAAGTTGCCACAAATTATCCACCTTAATTCTGAATCATGAGTCAAGGAAGTCAGCCATGGACCTTCTTATTCAGAACTTAATTGCAGAAATGGCAAGAAGAGGAGGAGTTTCTTCCTGAGCAAACTTGCCCTTCTTGCCCCCTCCAGCAAGCAGAAAATCACACCTATTGTAGCTGTATTGAAAGGTTATTCACTGGTACAGTTTACTTGTGTCTGTGTTTGGCTTGATTGATATCAAAAGAGCGGACGGGGGCCACAGATTCTGAGAACATCTTTTTTAGGAGATGACAGTGCAGTTTTAAACAGGAAGCTTCTGCTGCAGCTTCTGTATACATTGCTAAGCCGTCTAATTTAGGATTTCAGCTTTTTCATATTTTGTACATAATTCACAAACATACCAATCAAGTTCAAATACAGACCCTCAAGAAAGCAGCTGCGTTTTCCCAAATACTGGTTGACTGTGTGTGTTTTTTAACATTATTACTTACTAAATAATATTGCGGTTGAAACTATAACTGGGGGCGTAGCCTCAAAATAAGGGGGAGAAGATTTAGGACTGAGTTGAGGAGGAACTTCTTCACCCAAAGGATTGTGAATCTGTTGAATTCCTTGCCTAGTGAAGCAGTTGAGGAACCTCGTGAAATGGTTTTAAGACAAAGGTAGATAGATTTCTGAACAGTAAAGGAATTAAGAATTATGGTGAGTGAATCTGAGACTACAAAAGATCAGCCATGATCTTATTGAATGGTGGAGCAGGCTAGATGGGCCAGATGGTCTACTCCTGCTCCTATTTTTTATGTTCTTATGTTCTTCTAAACAAAGATATGGAGAAAAAAAAACATAATGTTGTGGATACTGCAGGTTCTGAAATGAAAACAGGAAGTGTTGGGAACACCTATCAGGTCAGGCAACATCTATCAAGAGATGTGCAGTCTCACTCCCCACACCTTTTCCCACCATTGACAGCCATTTCTTTGTCTTGGACCCATACTTTGGAATTCTCTCCCTAACTTGTCTATCTCTCCACTAACTCCTATCCTTGCCTTCGAAGGCTGTCTTTAAAACCTACCTCTTTCACGCCAAGCTCCTTCCCAGGTCAGTCCGAAGTGGGGATAAAGAGTGCTTGTGAAGCAGTTTTGAAATTTATTTCAAAGCAAGTAAATTCTTATATGTATGTTATTTGTTTCTTACGTCAAAGGACACCATCTGTTTCAGAAAGTTTATAACAAATTTTCTCTTATTCAC